AGATTAGATTAGATTACATTAGATAGATTAGAGTACGATATAATAGAAGAGACAGACAGATAGATAGATAGATAGATCGATAGATACATAGCTAGGTACATCGATATGAATATTTATTATATATATATATATATATCCAAGTATATACGTATTCATACATTCGGTCCTCCACGACCTCGACCACTGCTACCTTCACAAGCACTGTCTTCACGACTCCTTACTAGTTCAGCATCACTGAAGCTTTGACGACCAAAGCGACGGGCCCGGCTGCTGTTGCATCTAGATCTTGTCATCAATCTGTACGAGTAGTCGTCATATTGCAATGTCTGTCGGCATGATTTCATGTTGCTACCATCTTCCTCGTTCGTAGTACGACCTTCCACACTTCAAACTCTGGCGGGCATCCTGCAGAGATAGCACACTAAGGCGCACCTTCGCTTAGCCATCAGCGAAGAAGGTCGGCAGTACCAGTAGCGAGGAGTGCTACTACGACGGCACCACATCTACAACAACTCACTTGATGTTATTGCTCCAGCTCGCACACAGTCGTTGTGCTTCGAGCCTTCGAGATCTAGGCCTTAGGCTTCGAGAGCCGAAGCTCTGAACTAAGAACTTCGATTCCGGTACCCGACACTTAGACCTGGAAAGCCTTTCGCCCCTTGCCTCGAAGCGCCGGACACCGAAATCCCAAAAGACCCACTCCCATGTCGTGCGGGCACCTTCTGGTTCCGGCTGTACAAGACCAGGTAAAAACTCCTTTTGCCCGAAGTCTAAAGTGGGTGTAAGGCTTGTGGTGCAGGATTCCGAAGGTTTGTGGCATCCTCGAGGGCGTTTTTCTTGACGGTTTCTTACCGGTCGGAGCTAAGAGTAATAAAACGCCTTCAACTCTGGTTTCTCACAGCTTCCCGAACCAGACGGGGGCTTGGGGTGGTTAGGGGCTGCTAGGTGGCAGCTTCTTCCCGCCCCCTTGTGGCAAGGGCTCGGCAGGCACCGCTCCTCTTGTACTTCTCCTCGTTACCACTGAGTATCCACTTGCAAGCACAGATTCAGCGGTTCTCTCAGTCTCCCATGGATCTTGGGCCCAGGTTGCTCATAATCATGACAGCAGGCCCTGTCCTTCCGTGCCTGAGGCAGTTCACCTCCAACACCTTGCCGAGGAGATCAAGGTTCAGCCGGCCGTGAGATACCAAATCCGTTTGGCAAAATCTGCAGCCACTAAGTTTCTGATCCTCTCGTTGGGGTGTTCCAGCTGCGACAAAAGACGTCGAACTGTGACAAGCCTCTAAAGGCCTTAGGGCTCGGAGCCTCCAGATTAAGGCCGCTTGTGGCAGTCTCGCGGACCGACTGCCCAGAAGCTGAGGATTCTGAGTCGGACTTGCTCCAGACACCAGCCCCCCTATCAAGTCTCAACTCGTAAAGAAAAGGGCAAGTCCTCAGCCCTAATTACGATGAACTCCACGGCCAGAACCTACAGCAAGTTGCTAACTGAAACAGCATCACTACAATAGACTGCATCAAAGCGCAAAACGTGCGAGTGCCTAGCGGAAGCATCTTGCCAGTCTCAAGCTCTTTACAGACCTTTCGAATCTCCTTGGAGCCCGTTTTTGCTCATGGCAGGGGCAGTCTGAGTATTGGTATTCGCATTAATATTAGTATCAGTACTAATACTATGAGTACTTTGTATTTAGTACTTGATACTTAATACTTAGATTTAGCATTTATTGTTTAATATCTAGTATGTAGTACCTAAAAATAATATTAATAGTAGTGTGAGCTTTAATACTAGCACTAGTATTCATATTTGTACTGGTACTAGTCCTCGTATTAGCGGTAATATCGTATTAAAAGTAATATGAGTAGTAATCATATTAGTATTCGCATTTAGTATTAACTCTTGAACTTGGCGTCTTGAGTCTTAAGTCTTTAGTCCTAGATTTTTGTTCCTCCTCTTCCACACAGCTCTCTCTGACGGTCTAGCCCTAGAATTAGTATCAGCACGAATATGAGTATTAATATTAGCCACTCGGTGCAAGTCGTCTCCTCAGAGTTTCGACGGACATGTCGGATGCAGCTAAGAGGTTTGGGATCCCAGCTCCGTGGGAAGGGTTTCAGGAGCCCAGATCAAGAATTACATGCTGAAGGCTGCATGTAGGAGCTCTGATGTCGGATGAATTCAGGGGCGCTCAGGGGCAACGTTGTCATTGCCACTATTCACTATTACTGTCAATATTAATGCTATTACTGTTGTTTTTCTTTTCTTATTGCTATTACTTAGTATTACTACCATCCTTGGCTTCATGGGCATGGGGTATTCATCTCCGACCCAGGGCCTCGTCACGTGCCAAGTTTCGGCAGCGGGAATAATTCCTCAGATTGTAACTTGGCTTGGGCTGGGCCCGTGGAATTTGCTGAACATGTGTTGAACTCACAGCCGGTTAGGTTCAGCAAATTGCAGGACTTTGGGCTCTGCTGCCGCCGAGTTCACTAGCTGTCCCAGCTCTCTCCTCTCACCATTGAACTTAACAATGAGGCACTCCGTGCAGCCACCCTTGCTTATGGCGAGCCGCAAGTGCCAGTCGGAGCCCATACGGGCGCTCTCCAAGAGAACCTCCGCAGCATTGCAGGCTCGGAGACAGTCAGGGAAGCTCTTGATACCCAGTTCGGGAGATAGCTCATCATCTGCCTTCGGCTGTCAGCCTGAGCCCACATAGTAAGAATTTGTAGAGAGCTGCCTGACCACACAATTACAACCTGCTGCCGCCTGATCCCAGCCTGGGCAGCCATCTGCAGGCCTATCCTGCCCATTTCCTGCAAACCCTGCACTGCATGTAACACCTTTAAAAGATGTTACAGGGGCCTTAATAGTTAGAATGGGGTTTTGGGGCCCATTAACTATAATTATAAATTTTGTAAACGATCTCACATAAACTAAGCTTTCAGAGAGGTCCCTCAGTGTTCAGCACCCTGCCCTTCCTGCCTGCTCATTCAGAGAGATAGGGTCGCCTTGCGTCCTTAGCTTTCCGGACCAAGAGCTGCAGGGTATTGAAAAACACCCAAACCCGAAAAATTAGACTAATTCCAGTTGAACTCAGGAGTCGAAGTCTAAGCAGACAGTGTCTGCGGATCTCTTAGAGTAGCCGCTCTGGCACAGTCCTACTCAGGGCGATGGCACACGCACGTTCTGCATTTCGGTGTTCCGGGCCATCGACACGGACGGACTGCCCGAAGCACTACTCTTGCTGAAGACAGGTGGCTGCATGTCCTGCTGTTCTGAACGGCACCCAAAAAAACAGTTGAAAGTTGGATGCAAACAGATAGGTCTGACTGCGTACTAGCACCAAGCTTCTGGTGGTGCAGCTGCTGGTGCTCTGTCTGATCGGGTTGTCCAAACGAAGAAGGGAACAACGCAAAAGAGACTTTAGTCTGGCTGACATACTATGAATACTATGCGAACACTATGGCAAGCAAAATCCCAACTGACGATGTCGCAGGTTGAACACTGAAGCCGCCCAAGCCCGACCCAACCCGCCAAGCGTTCCAGCCTCTCGTGAAAGCCTACGCTCTCAACTACGTAGTTTGAAGGAGGGTATAAGCCGAGGTGCTACACGAACCCCGAACCATCTTAGCCTCAGGCCACGGCTGCGACACCCAAGTCAAACGACACCCACAAGATCGACCACACGCAAAGCGTCTTGTGCTTGAAGTAGGGCACCGCTCTTATCCAGCAGCTGGCCCCACCCTCCTGACGGGCTCTTGACATCGACATACTGTACTCAGCACCGGTGGGGACAACCCATTGCTAACAAAAGATGAAAGAAAGGAATGTTTACCAGCGTTCGGCTCTGTACAGTTCCAATTCAGGATAGTCCAGGTCCTAGGATTTCCTTCTTTATCTAGAAAGTACAAGGGTGATAGGTTGTTCGGACACTACGTTCAGGTTGTTGGTTGAGATTGAAAGCCCCTCTTGAAAAAAAAACCTATCAGAAGTATGAAAATCCAACACTGCATCAACAAAGCGGGTGCAGTAGCGGCATGTCTGCAGTAGCAATATGTCAAAGTACCAGCAGCAGTAGCAGCAGCAGCAGCAGCAGCAGCAGTGAAAGTGGTAGCAAGCAGTAGGCGAGTAGTAGTAGTAGTAGTAGTAGTAGTAGTAGTAGTAGGAGTAGTAGTAGTAGTAGCAGCAGTAGTATTAGCAGTAGCAGTAGCAGTAGC